GACAGCGCCACCATTGTTTAAGATACACCGGAACTGTGCTTCTTTGAGCAGCCATTTGTGTTATAAAATTCTGTCAATTAATGATGTAGATTGAAACAAATACACAACTGATTGATGCACATTTCTCTGGACTCTGGGTGGTCCAGAGAAATTCTCTGGTTTGAACTGAAATTTCACTGGATTGGTCCGTGGTATTAAGGTTTTTCAACAACAACCATCTAGTTTTGAATTTCTCTGGTCCAAACCAGCGAAATTCTCTCCAAACTAAAAAAATTCTCTCTGGTTTACTTAAAAAAAATTTTGATTTGTTTACCATTTTCTCTGCCTTCAACAACAATAGCCATTTACTATTAATTAAACAACAGATTTAAGAACATAAACCTTGCAATGGTTTGGACCAAGGAATTTCTCTGGGTTGTTCAAATTTCTCTGGTAGGTCTTTCGTTTATTCAAATTTCTCTGGTTGTTCAAATTTCTCTAGTAGGTCTTTGGGTTGTTCAAATTTCTCTGGAAGCTTTGTTATTGCCTCATGCTACCTCCAGTTAATCATTTGTCATGTTGTGTATTTGTGTTGATGCCATCAAAGTGCTCTTGCTTATATGGCTTTTATGATGCTACTACAACTACTTATTTGATATAGAAAGAAGAAGATGATGATGATGATGATGAAGGCTATCAAAGAATTTCTCTGGAGGAATAATTTGAATTTGAACTCAGAGAAATTAGTCTAAGGTCTGTCAAAATGATTTCATAAAATGATTTTGTGATCCAGAGAAAATTGGTTAAAATAAATCTAGAGAAATTTGAATTTTCTCTGGTTTATAAATGAACCCGGAGAAATTTGAATTTGAATTTGAAACCAAAGAAAATTGGTCAAAATGAACCCAGAGAAATTTGAATTTTCTCTAGGTTGAACCTAGAGAAATTCTTTGGGAAGTCCAGAATTTCTCTAGAGCGAATTTCTCTGGATTGAAATTTTTCTGGATCAATGTTGAGGGACCTTAGACATTATGAAAATGTTGAATGTCCTTTATACTATAAAGTCTTAATATCAGGGACCCTAAAAAAAAAAAACCTAATAATTTAGATAGAAAATAAATCAAAAAATTTAAATTTAAATTGATAAAATTAAAACACATGATATATCTTGTTACAAAGATCAAACTATGCCTAAGTTTGGAAAGTGAGTTGATTTTTTGACTTTTATGACTATTTTAGCCTGGGCTAAAAAGGTTAGTTTGGGAAGGACTTTTTGACTTTTTACCTTTTTTGACTTTTTTTGTAAGAGAAGAGTATAATAATTATGGGTTGGATGTAATGTTTTGTTTGTTATTGCTAAAATAGCCTATTTTATTTTTTGTTGCTAAAATAGCCTGAAACTAACTTGTCAAACGGACCCTATATATATATTCAAAAGGTTATTGTCCAATTGCTTTATTTTCCGTTTTTATTTGTCAAAAAAGTAAGAATAATACTTGGGACCCCCTTTTGGAGGTCACCCCCTCACCCCCTTTGTCACGTGGCGAGTGGTGATTGGAGGAGCAGGAAAAAAAAGAAAAAGAAAAAGAAAAAGTAACCAATGAGAGAGAGAGGGGGTCAAAGGGGGTGGGGGGAAAAAGGGGGATGAATCATTGTTGAAAAAATATATATATTCAAAAGGTTATTGTCCAATTGCTTTATTTTCCGTTTTTATTTGTCAAAAAAGTAAATTCTAGGCCACTTCCGTACATCTTTGGTCGAGAGGTAATCAACTAGAGAACAAGGGCCACCCAAAATATTGGGCTTGTTTGGTTTATTTTTTAAATTGAGTTTAAAATTTAAAACTTGTTTGATTTATAATTTTTTAAATTTTTTTAATTATTTTTTCTTTCTCTTTTTTTATTTTCTCACATTTTATATATTAATCAATTATTTTCTCTTTCTCTTCCCTTATTCTCTCACATGTTACACGTCAATCAATTACTTTTTCTTTCACACTTATCTAGTCAACTATAAAAATAAATAAATAAAAATAAAAATTACAAATCATTCCAAATTACAAAATTCCAACCACAAAACTACAAATTTATTTATAAAATATATAACTAAATAAATTTTCAAATTTTAAAAACTCTTTTAAAATTGATTTCGAAACCAAACTAATGGACCCATTGATTTTCTTTTTCCTTACATATCATTCAATTGATTTTTTTTTTTTTTAAAAAAAACAAAAGCAAGAGAAATGTTTTCTCTGTACAATTTTTTTTAATACATAGAAATGCATTTTAAATTTTATTTTTAGGCTTCTTTTGGTTGAAATGAAGGAACTTGAGATTGAATTATAAAAATATAAAAAATTAATGTCTCGTTTTTTTTGGACGTGAGATAAATAGAGCGAGACTTACAAGAAACCAACACCTAGGCAATTGTTGACTGGGGAAGGCTCCCATGAACCCTACATACACACACAAAATCCAAACTTCCCGATGTGGGAAGCCTGCCCAACATCACTAGACCCAAGAGCCTCACCCATCCTTCAGACAGGCCCAAGGAGGTCGTAAGCGACAGGCTTCATTAACACACCAGTTGACAACATAATTATTTAGCTAAAAAAAATCAGATAGTCACAGAAAAAATTAAAAAAATATTTAAAAAAAAAAGAAAAAAAGCTAAAAATTGCTATTAAACAAATAAACACTTCAATGATTTACAGTTGAATTAAAAAAAAAATCATTCCTAAACATTTTTTTTTTTACCTAAAAAAATTTTAAAAAATACAATTCTCAATTAACCTATTAGACAAAAAAAAACGAATGATTTCAAATTATTATTTTATATTATTATTTTGAATTAATCATGACAAAAGTCGTAAACATGAGTTATTTGTTGATTGAATAGTGTTAGATCACTTCAAATGCATAAATCAAAACATTACTTTGTATTTATATTGGTGCCAAAATAACATTGTTATAGTGCCACAATGACAATGTTAGATGGCTTGACAAAGTGGCTCAAACAATTTAAATGTTATTTTTATTTTATTTTGTTTAAAAATATAAATATAAATAGTATTGAGAGATAAAGGGAAAAACTCAAGACAAATTTTACCATTTATAATTTGATTTGCTCTATTTTCCGTTTTCATTTGACAAAACAAAATAAATTTCCAGGCCACTCCGTACATCTTCATTGGATCCTAATAATGACTAGGGATGATCACGGAATGGATTCGTCATCTCCTGCTCCTGCCTCCTCTTTTAAACTCAACCCTCTCCCTTATCTCAACTTTGTTATTGGTGAAATTTTTCAATCTTATCCCTATGTTATGGATATTTGATCAAATTTTCAATAGTTAAAAAAATTAAGAATTATTTAAATTCTAACCTATTAAATAATTTCCTATAACAAAATAATAAGATAACAGTTTGATTTCTTATTTATTTATATTTAAATAGAGTCACCGACTTTTAGATTCATTTCTTATATCTAATTATATTATATATATATATATATATATATATTATTAGTTATATCGGGTCAGATTTAGATGGGAGAAGCGATACTTGCCCTTGTCCCATCTCCATTGTGGGTGACTAAAATTTAATCCCACCCCGTCCCGCATAAAAGTGTCGGGTCGGGTAAAATCCGTCCCGTTTAAAGCGGGTATAGACGGTCCCCCACGGGTTGGGCTAAAATGGCCATCCTTACTCATGACCCAAAGAGGGATAATTTGGGGCTCAGAGCAATTAAGATGTGTATGATTCAAAGATTTGGAGAGCGATTTGAGAAAAAAAAAAAAAATAATTGAAATGTCAATAAAATATTCTTTCATGACATCTAATTTCATACATATTTTTCTTTTCTCTCTCTAAATCATTTCTCAAATTTATAAACCAAATATAGCCCTAGAGTATATGGGCCACCCTTGTTTGATTAAATCATTTTTTTTTAATTGAATTTTTTATTTTCACTAATTTTTTTAAATATTTTAAACAAATTCTTCGAACTATTTTTCATCAAATTCAAATTTGATGATAAGTTGATACATGGTTAGAGATGGTCTTACTCTCATTACTTTTATACATATTTTATTATTGTAAAAAGTAAAAAAAAAATATTTAAAATATTAAAAAAATCACTAAAGAAAAAACTCAATTTTAAAAAAAAAAAATTGAGTTCAAAAATTAAAATCAAAAAAGTTTTTTTTTTTTTTTGGGGTGTTACAAATATATATAGATATCATTGCAACTTGAATTTATAAAAAAAAATTGCAAAAAAAACAAAAACCTAAAGTTAGATCTTAATAACAAATTAAACCATTATTTTATAATTATTTCAATTTAAACTCTAAATTTTTAAAATGATTTCAATTTATATAACTAACAGATAATTTAATGACTTTTTTTTCTTTATTATTGTTGACAACAACCTCCGACCTTTACCGTTGTCCATCACCACCGTCCTATTCCCCAATCCACTATCATCTCTCAATTCCATTTCCCATCCATTGCTACTCCTCCCCCAGTTCACTGCCCACCCTTTCATTTCATCATCACTCCATAATCACTGCCGTCATACAACACCAGTAACAAAAAATGATTAAATTATGTAAATTGCCATTGCCCATGACCCAAACACTCCAAGAACCCACATTTGGTTCAATAAATAATTACTATCATTTCTATATATGTAAAAAACAAATAAGGAAAGGAGGCAAACCAATTTTAGTAACCTGCTACCAAAAAATGCTAATATCCTAGCGAATTACATATTAGTATGCACGTTCAAAATATAGCACATTTACATTTCAAAACGATAAATTTAACAATCTGAAATAATTCCAAAAGTTTTTTTTTCCAATAAATCTCCTTAAATGTTTCCTTAAGAGGAAAAAAATCAAATGTAATGAATTAAAATCTAAGATAAGTTTTGACAAGACAAAACACAAAAATTGGGTCATAGTACTCATAGAAATGGTTTGCTACATGAAGAAGAAAAACTAATTTTTATTAGATGCCTAATAGTTTAAAAAAATACCTTAAATTCAAAAGTATAATATAATACAAATCTATCCCTATCGTACCACATTTTAGAGCATATAGCTTTCCACGTTCCCATTTTTGTTTCCCGTACCGATTTTCATTTCTCATACCGGAACAATCCATGTCCCAGGTAACATAGAACCAGACATCTATATTACAATAGTAGAAGTGTGAACATTCATATGGTACATGATATAGCATGGATGAAGAACTAAATGCAAAAGAATCATCCCCACATGCCAGGACCAACCTCCCTTTCAAGACTAATTTGTCACAAGAATCTTCTATTTTTTCTATTTCCACTTCTTGAAAGTGTTCATGCTTGTTAGTGGTCTCACTCTCTCTGTGTGCCTATATCTGTCCCTTGCATGTATAATTCAGACTTTTCACAGGCGTAATGTCAAGCTGCTCAAGCAATTAGTGCACATCCCATTTACATCACCAAAAGCAACCAACCTCTATGGCAAACATCACAATCTGCGTTCTTTACATGATGCAGTTGATGACTTCTCTGCTTAGGAATGAGTAGGATGGAGAAATGGCTGAAGATGCTAGTGAAGGAATTGGTTGTTTAGAAGGCGGAATATGCTCTTTATAGGTTGGATGCACATTTTAGTCAAGGGGGGAGAAAAGGTTTGTGGCATAAGGATTTCGCATTGCGCAGCATATATAGGGAGAAGATATTGTTGTAATAGAATGCCGCCCAAGCAACCACACTGTGAGTGCTGCACCGAATGGAGGAAGGTCTTGGGAACAAAACACAGTATGATTCTTCTGAAATAACTGGAGGGACGATGGCAAGACACATCAGTAGAACAGTCGGAAACACATGTAAATGGACCAGTTTAAGTTGCAATAAAGCTTCTTCAGACCATAGTTTAGAAAGTGAAAATGCTTAGCTTCTTTTTATATGGTTATAGATACCTGACATTGTAACCTTTTAGTAACTGTTGCCAGGGCACCCTAAAAATGAGAAATGCCCAATCCCCAAATTTCATCACCCCCAATTGCACTTCTAATGAAGTGGCAAACAATAACAACCAATCAACTCTCTTCAAAATGTGGGACCACTTTACATGGGGGTAAGCCACCCCATTAGGGGTGGAATTAGGTGTGCAAAATTAGAGAGACGTAGCACCACTCCCCTAAACAAAACAAAAAAAATGAATTGTACCGTCAATAGTCTTTTCATTGAATTACCAATTTCCCTGGCATGAGTACTTGGCAGTAACTAGCATAAAACAACCAGTGAATCCTTATCTTCTTTTCACCTTGCCTTGTAAGACTGAATCGTAAGGTCTTTTTGGGTCTTGAATGATTACCAAATGCCCCGGTCCTCCTTCAGAGGATATGTTATCCATGGCAAGCTTAACAAGCACAGCTTAAATCTGTTCAACTCCCATTAATTGAGGAAGCCTTTTGTTTTGTTTAAACACCAAATCAATGAGATGTTGATAAGTCCATATTCTCCTTTCTCTAGCTTGAGTTTCAAGAGATGAGTATGCCTCTTCACAACTTCTTAGGAAATGCCCTTTTCCAAATGCAGTGAGAACAAGAGCATCAGTGTTCATTTCAACATTTTCATCAAGAAATCCTATCTTTCTCCACATATTTAAAGCCCACATTCCGTCAAATCCAATCTTACACGCATCAAATACAACTCCAATGGTGACAATATCAGGCTTCACATGTCAAGCAGCTACTTCAGAAAGTACGAGCTTCAAGTTCTTAAAATCTTTCATCATCACATAAGTTAGCAAGATTACATTAGCAATCGTTACATTCCAAGGTAAATTTTCTAATTCCATCTCTTGAAGAACAAAGTACATGCCTTTCCGACTCAAAAGAAAAGAATGTGAAAGGATGTGCAAACACCAAACAAGATCAGTCTTTCCAGTTTTCGAAGAAAGATCATGTCCCATCCCATGTCATCCAATCTAGAAAACATATGGTTCAAAATATAAACCCTAGCCAATTTCCGAATCAAATCATCCTTTAACAAGGTTTTGGAGTTCAAAACCCTTCTATAAAACTTCTCCATCTTGTCCAAGATCCCAAAGTTGGCATATGCCTCAAGCATTGCAACCAATGTAGAGGATTGTAAATCCATTCTTTTTTATATGAGAATTTGATACAGTTTTTCCGTTCTTGTCAGTAATCCGGCTCGTGAAAACTCTTGGATTAGCAAATTATAAGTAATGTGGTCCAGTGACCACCCATCAGCCTCCATCTTTTTCAAACATTGATCCATCTCATCATACATTCTATATTTCCCATATGCTCGGATAAGCCCATTATAGGTCTCCGTATCTGGCTTCAAATTGATTTCCTCCATCTTCTTGAGATAATACAAAGCATCTCCGAACCTCCCTTTCCTAGCAAAAACCATGAATTATGGAATTTTAGCCTGCGTTTGGTTATGTTTTGTAATTATGATTTGAGAGTATGAGTTGTATTTTGAGTTTGTGGGGTTTGGAATTATGATTTGAGTGTAGAAAATTTGTTTGGTAAAGAGTTTTGAAAATAGTTTTGAAAAGAGTTTTGATTTGAGTAGGGAATTGTTGATGTGACATTTGATATTTGATACAAAAATTTACAACTCATAACTAAATATACAACTCAAAATTATTTTAAAACACAAAAAAATTTAAAAATTTCAGAAAATATTTTTTTGATTATATAAAAATTAACATATCAATTGCACAAAAAAAAATAATAATAATAAAAAAAATATATCACTATTCCGGTCAACCGGCCGGACGTCCCGTCAGGCAAAATTTTCAAAAAAAAATTCTGAAAAGCGCGGCTGAGACAGAGCTCTCTGCAGAGCTTTCGAAACGTAATTCTAAAACACTAAACAAACATCATATTCAAACTCTGATGTAGAAAACTAGTTTGAAAACATAAACAAACATAGCCTTTTAGATCTCTGAAGAAGGTCTAAGCCCAAGACCCATCAATTCTTGAAGTGCTGATATTGCTTCTTCCATTAGTCCCTCCTCAACTAGTAATCCTATAATCTTTTCGTAGTTAAATAGATTAATCCGTGATTTCTCAATGTTCTTCCACAAATCAAAAACCTACCCACATATACTTCGAGACTTCAATTCCATGCTAAGAATCCCAACAAAACACACACACACACACACACACACACACAAAAGATTGTAACTTTTTGATTTGCTGCCTAGAAATATGACAGAATAAGAGGAAACAAAGTCATGCTAGGGTTAATTAAGATGCTTTTTTTTTAGAAACCAAAGAAATTGATCCTGAGATTCAAATTTTCGTTTACCTCAGTTTCCTTGCAACCAAACAGAGAATTAACCTCCAAATGACAAAGAAACACCAAACTTAGAGAAACCCCAAATCAATTTCCCAAGATTTCCAACAAAGCCAGGAGATAAAAGTGAAAACGATAAATAAATAAAGAACAGTATAAACGCACACATTGATCAAAATCAAAAATGTATTTCCTGATTTACTCAGAAAAACCCAACAACTATTTTTGCAAAATTCAAGAGAAACATTAATCAAGCCAACGAAATCATTAAAAACCCACAACCAAAATTTCGCAACCAGAGAGAGAGAGAGAGAGTAGTGACCTGGGGAACCTCCTTGGATCTTGAGGACTGTACGAGGAATCTGAGGACAGCCCAGAAGTGATCTTTAGTCCAATCCCCATCATCTTTGAGTATCTGAAGAGGGTCTGAACCTCTCTTTTTGAGCTTTTCAAGTAAGGTTTTGAGGTCCTTGTTTTCACGAAAGGTGTCCACAAAGTGGGTTGTTTGTTTTCTGGAATTGTTCCTGGGGTTTACATGCTTTGGTGTTTGGTGATGATGATGATGGGAATTCCTTTTCAGGTGAAGTGGGGATGAAGTAGGATTGGTGAGTGTGGTATGGGTCTTTATGGGTAGGGTTTTGCAGAGGCTGTTATTGTTGTTCTTGTTGAAGTTGGATTTCAATGTCATTATGGCTTTCCCGGAGATATCCAGGGTGACTGGCATGTCTAGGTCTTTGCTGCTACTGTGCTTTTTCAATCCTTATATCAACAGAATTTTTATATACGAGGGTGTTTGGGGAAAAAAAAAATAGCTCAATTTAGGTTAAAATTTACAAAAAAATAAAATAGGGTAAAATAATTAATAAGATAAAATATCACATCAAACTTATAATTATTTCACTTTTTCTCTTACAAATATCACATCCAACCACAAAAAAATCCAATCATCTTCCCAAACACAAAAATTTTAGCCTACTAAAATAGAGGCTATGTATTTTGAGCAAGGATCCTCTAGAGTTTTTTTTCCCTAAAGTTTCCTAGAGTGGTGTGTTGTATGGTTGAGATTTAATGACAAGTCACATCAATTTTTTAGCATTAAATCTCACCCATACAACACACCACTTTAGGAAACTTTAGGAAAAAAAAACTCTAGAGGATCCTTGGTGATGTATTTTAGAAAAATGTGAAAAAAAATGTACTAATTGAAATGTCTAAGAGACCGTTTGGGAAGTAAGATTTGAGGATTTTTTTTGGCTATTTTAGTCACAAAAGATAAAATAGGATATTTCAGTCACAACAAACAAAACATCACATCTAACCCATAATCATTATACTCTTTTCTCACAAAAAAAAAATCAAAAAAATCAAAAAGCTAAAAAGCTCTTCCCAAACTAAGTTTTTTAGCCCAAATTAAAATAGTCAAAAAAATTAAAAAATCAATCCACTCCCCACACCAAGAGTAAAATGTATGAAGTAAAAGTGAAAATATTTTGTATTGCGATTCTAATTTTTTTTTTTTTTTGACATTTTTAATTCGTATTCAGTTATTATTAGCATGACTCAAATATATTGTGCAACCTTTTATAATTTTTTTTATTTCAAATCAAAATGCATATTATCAAAACTTCTAACCGTAAATAAGTTTTTATGTAAAAATATATTATGTTTATCAATATTTTTTTTTTTAAAAATATTAATGTTAGGGATATTAACAAACATATCAATAAATATTAGGGGTGGCAATGGAGGTTAATGGGGTGGATATTAATTCTGCATCCCCATTCTTCTATAATAAATTTTCTCCATTCTCCATTCTCCATTCCTCATTCCCCATGGGTACCACCCTCCCCATTTCCTAATGGGTTTGAATTTTCCCCAACCCACTTTAATCCCCATTTTTATTTTATTTTTATTTTTTATATTTAATGTTAACAACCACTTCTTTTTTTTTAAAAGGTTCACAACAAAAGCTAAATATACCTTCAATATTTTTTTCTTTCTTTTTTAATATATTTAATGTTAACTTTTTTTTTTTTTAAGGTTCACAACAAAAGCTAAATATATCTTCAATATTTTTTCTTTCTTTTTTAATATATTTAATGTTAACAATTTTTTTTTTTAATATTCACAACAAAAGTTAAATATACCTTCAGTCTTTTTTCATTCTTTTTTAATATATTTAATGTTACAACTTTTCTTTCTTTTTTTTTTCTTTTTTTTTTTTTAAGGTTTTAGCTAAATATACCTTCAATCTTTTTCTTTCTTTTTTTAATATGTTTAATGTTAACAACTTCTTCTTCTTCTTCTTTTCTTTTTTTTAAGGTTCACAACAAAAGTTAAATATACATTCAATCTTTTTTCTTTCTTTTTTTAATATATTTAATGTTAACAACCTTTTTTTTTTCTTTTTAAGGTTTTAGCTAAATATACCTTCAATCTTTTTTCTTTCTTTTTTAATATATTTAATGTTAACAACTTATTTTTTTATTTTTTTTAAGGTTCACAGCAAAAGCTAAATATACATTCAATCTTATTTCATTTTATTTGGTTCAACAACAAAATCAAATACATATTAATAAATTAATTAAAAAGTTTGTTTTATAATAATCAAATATATAATTTTGAGACAATCAAATAAGTTTTAGTAATTGGAAAAAAAAAATGTGGAATAACGTGGAAGATTAAAAAAAAATTACAACCATCTCTCTCTCTCTCTCTCTCTCACTCTCTCCCCTACATGTTATAAGAACCTGTTTACAATGTTATAAGAGCTTGTTTGAAAAAATAAAATGTGAAAGAACCTGTTTGAAGAAAGTGTTATAAGACCCATATTAAATTGCATCAGGGCATAAATAAGGAATTGTTTATGGATCTCTTAATCACGGACATTTTAGACATTAAACCATCTTTCTCTTAGCAAATTTGAACCATTCATTTTAATTTATCCAAAATCTAATTATACCTTTTAACAAATCTGAACCACTCATTTTAAGATATCTATGTATTTATTTAGGTCATCCCAAACAACCCCTAAATACAGAAAAAGAAAATAGCAATAGTACAAAAAAAATAAAAATACAGTTATAGTTCGTTCAATCAACGAATCCGGATCCTCGACCGCCCTATCCGGCAGCCCTACCCGGCAGCCCCCCAAAACGACGTCGTTTTGGGGGTTTTTTGTTTTTTCTTTTCTTCTTCTTCGTTCTTGCTTTCTCTCTCTTCGAAGAAACCATAGGGAAGGGAAGAGGGAGAAGAGGGAGGAAGGAGGAGGCTGCGAGCTCGCCATCGCAGCTCGTCGCCTCGCCGCCGGCCGTCGCAACCGTCCGATCGTCACCCGATCCAGCTCGTCGCAGCAGCTGCACCGCCGTCGCCTCCGCCTCCTCCTCCTCCTCCTCCTCCTCCCTCCTCCTCCTCCCTCCTCCCTCCTCCTCCTCCTCCTCCTCCCTCTCTTCTCCTTCTCTTCTCCACCTTTCTTCGAGCCACAGAGTCGAGCCATAGATTCGAGCTACGAATCGGTACCGATAAATCTTTGTACCCATCTTTTCTAACCAATCACCACTCATGCTTGTTTCGATTCTCTACAATTTCCTTATTTTCAAATACATTCACATATATATATATATATATGAATTGTGTGATAACATAAAACAAATAGATTCATACTCGTTAATTGAAATTTCAGAACAAGCAAACCATTCTGAAAATTACAATACATAACAAAATAAAATAACATAAAAAAGCAAACCGAAATCTGCACTACACAGTGTCCTTAATTTTTTTTAAATAAATTTAAAAAATTCGAGATATGCATAAAATTTGATAAGAATAATGTGACAATGTTAATTAATGTGTATTTGATTTTATTATTGAGCCAAATAAAATAAAATAAGATTGAATGTATATTTAGTTTTGGTTGTGAATCTTAAAAAAAAAATGGTTGTGAACCTTAAAAAAAAAATTAAAAAAAAAACAAAAGAAAAAAGATTGAATGTATATTTAGTTTTGGTTGTGAATCTTAAAAAAAAAATGATTGTGAACCTTAAAAAAAAAACAAAAGAAAAAAGATTGAATGTATATTTAGTTTTGGTTGTGAATCTTAAAAAAAAAATCAAAAAAAAAAAAAAAAAAAAAAGTTGTTAACCTTAAAAAAAATTTAAAAAAAAACAAAAGAAAAAAGATTGAATGTATATTTAACTTTGATTGTGAATCTTAAAAATTTTTTAAAAAAAATGGTTGTGAACCTTAAAAATAATAAAAATAATAATAAAAAAAGATTGGATGCATATTTAGCTTTGGTTGTGGATCTTTAAAAAAAAAAGTTAGTTGTGAACCTGAATAAATAAATAAAAAAATAAAAGAAAAAAGATTGAATGTATATTTAGTTTTGGCTGTGAATCTTAAAAAAAAAAATATGGGGAAATTAGTGGGTACCCATCCCCAACCTATCCTCTGTGGATATTTAAAGAATATCACTTACCCAACCCAACGGATAAGAAAAAAAAAGGAGAAAACCAATATATTTGTGTTGGCTCTCCATGGACACCCACAGGGTAGGTTATCCATTGCCATCCCTAATAAATATATTAAAGATTTTATTAAGTGCTCTAATAGCACTCACTGTTTTCATTTTTGTACAAAAAGAAAAATTCAAAAGACTTAAAATATATAATTTAAAATTTTCTTAAAAAGTGTCTTCTATTAAAATAAAAGATATATTAAAAAAATAATTTATCAAACAAGTTTTTTTATGTTTATAAAAAATGAAAACAGAATGAAAAATGAAAATGAATACAAACGGTTAAGAATGATTGGAGATCGCAAGTGACATTCCATCTGCCATCCGTTCAAAATTAGGCCTATTGAAAAATGTCAATCCACATCCGTGCACTGGTTTGGCGGATGTGAATTGAGCAGACCGTGCAGGTTGGTGGATTGATGCAATCAGTTTGGTGATTTGGACTTTACAAATTTTAAGTATTTTTTTTGAATTATAATTCATAACTTTTACAATACCTAGATGTTACAATGTGCACCCTTAAAAAGGTGCATATGGTACGCCTTTCATAATTTTTTCACAAAATTTCATAACTTAAATCTAAAATGTCATAACTTTTTCACTACAAAAGTCATAACTTTTTTTAACATAATCTCAAAGTGTCATAACAAAAAGGAGAAATTTGCAATGTGCATCTCTTAAGTGTTGTACATTGTAAAAAAGTTATAATTTTTTATGATGAACGTTACGATTGTTTATGATGTGTGTTATGACATTTTGTAGTAAAATTATAAATAATGAATTTTTGATGTGCATCCTAAAGTTAGGAATGATAATGTTATGACATTTTGTGATTTTTGTTATGACACTTTGAGATTTTGTTATGACATTTTTCAGTAAAAAAAAATTATGACTTTTATAGTGAAAAAGTTATGACATGCACCCTAAAAGAGGTGTATATGGTATGCCTTTCATAACATTTAAGTTATGAAATTTTGTGAAAAAAGTTATGAAAGGTATACCATATACACCTCTTTTAGAGTGCATGTCATAACTCTTTCACTATAAAAGTCATAACTTTTTTTCACTAAAAAATGTCATAACAAAATCTCAAAATGTCATAACAAAAAGGAGAAATTTGCAATGTGCATCATTTTAAATGATGTACATTGTAAAAAAATTATGATTTTTCATGATGAACGTTATGATTGTTTATGATGTGTGTTATGACATTTTGTAATA